TTATGGCATGGGCACACACAATGGAGGCTCAGGTCTGCAAAGTTGGGTATAGTAAGAGAAGATACACAGTTTTATGGACAACATCGATGTGCAAATGGGTAGCTTGATCATATGAAAGGAGATTGAGAGATGAGCATCTAGGGCTGGGAGCTAGCACAGGAAGGGAGGCGAGATGCCAAAACGGTTGTACAGAAAATAAGTCGTAAAGATCGTCTTTTCGTGTCACTTTGAATGATTGTCATTCGATACCAACTGCCATGCTGGCTAAACGTCTGGAGAATTAGTTTGATACTAGAAGTTATCAAGACAACGATTAGCAGGGATATCTTCTTCGAAGTTCTCTCGACACTATGAACAAATTGTGAATGTAATAAAAAAAACAAGTTCATACAGCTGATGGAGACTGCGAAGTAACTTGAAGCTGCACCATTTTGCTATTCCTATCTGCAATCAATTGTATTTAGTTAAAAATAGATGATAAAATGTTTTTTTATGCTCTTTCAGATGGTACAGAATACTGCTAAACTGCTGTTCCGACACCATATCTAGATTTAGCAAACTTGCCAGCAAAATTGGACAGCATTTTCAATGCATGGTATCAATGCGTGAAGCACTTATCTGGCGAGATCTGACACAATTGCTGGAAACACGTTATATATGAAATGCACTCGCCCTATTTCCTTAAGGTGATGAAGGCCTGGTAGTTGGATTTTCTCACAATCATATGCCCATTGAATTGCATAAAGCTCTGCTTCCTAAAAGACATTCTTATCCAGGCTTGTGGGAAAGTTCAACTGCCATTTATTCATATCCCTAAACGAAACTAAATGAATAATTTTTTGGTTCCCTTCAACTTTCCTCAAGTAGTGAATATTTGTTTTTCTATAAAAGTATGGGCCTGTAATTACTTCACTATCACCAGGTCATAGCCAGTCAGACAACCAAAGATACGTGATAATGCATGGACTGATACCATTTATCCAGCCTATTTCTTGACTTGGAACTCCAACTAAGCCGCGCTTTTGTTTGCCAATAATTTGTATTCTTTGGAGGTGTCAACCATTTTTTGTCAGCTCTTTTACATAATAGAGCCTATGCATATTTTTTCACACATTCCCACCCCTCACCCTTCAGGTGTTTCGACAAAAGGCTATTCCCTGTCTAAGACATGTACCCCTTCCGGAGGTCTCTGTTGTTGCTGCTGTTGTGGCCGGCGCTACGGAAACTACTTGGTCGTGCTCTACTTTTTCGTCAAGACCCTGTATCTGGTCAATCTCATCTTCCAGATGTTCCTCATGGAGAAGTTCATCGGCACCAACTATACGTTTTTTGGCCTGGGCGTGCTCAGTGACCTCCTGCAAGGTCGACAGTGGTTTCACTCAGGCAACTTTCCACGAGTCACCTTCTGCGACTTTGAAGCAAAAAAACTAGGCAAAAATTTAAAGTAAGCACTTTATTGCATAATTATGCCAGATTTATGAAGAATATCTTTTGCCCAGAAGAGCGTGTATAAAAGACTTTTAGTTCCCTAACTGCACAAATGCTATACGACAAGAGTTCCTGTCTGGATTTAGGGTCTTTTTTGATAAGAAATAGGGTCTAAGACCTTCTGGGTTAAATAATTTGCTTATTCCAAAAGATCTCACTTAATGACGCATAACAGGTTTCCCGCCTGATCAAGCGAAATCATTACTGCTGGTGCAATTTTGGGCAGAGTTACCAAGACGTAATACCGCCTAGAATGGCCCTCTTTTCAAATTATTATTTTGATTAGTTTGTATCCAAACAGGTGGAATATCTTCAAATTACTTCGAGTTTGTTAGGGGGACCTTCATTTT